AAATGCTTAGTTTTTCGTCTAGTTTCATAATATGCCACTTTCATCCATGTTTAAAATGTTTAAAATGCTGTTTGGTTAAATTTGCTCCTATGCCATGTTAAAATGCTTTAATTCATAACTTAATAACCGTAGCTCCAAACCTAACAAACTTTATATGTAAAAGGGGTAGAAAAATGCCTAGTTTAACATGGTGGCATTACTTTGCATGTTTAACAACTCCAAAATATGGTTTAGGGCAGAACAGTACCAAATCTAATATATGCTCATGAGGAGTTTCCGGACTTGTTGTTTATTGTTCCGGCCTCATTTAAACTTGCCTAGATAGGTAGTGTTCATATTCTTCACCCTTGCCATGTTAAACAACATTTAATATTGTTGGGTACATAAACGAGATCGAACTAAATAACTTGAATATGGTGTTCCGTCAATATGCAACTCGTTGCATACTGAGCTCCACTTAATTTGTAGGATTGTTTTGTGCATTTTGCCATGCCATGTTTCATTAAACCGGACATGCATCATACTTGGTTGTGCATCATGTCATATTTATGTGATGGTTGTTTACTATGTTGCTTGCTTCTTTCCGGGTTACTTCTCGCGTTAGCTTCGGTTTCGTTCCGGAGTTGTGAGGATTCGTTCATCTACGTCCATTTGTCTTCTTCATGGACTCGTTCTTCTTCCTTGCGGGATCTCAGGCAAGATGACCATACCCTCCAAATCACTTCTATCTTTGCTTGCTAGTTGCTCGCTCTTTCTGCTATGCCACGATACCTACCACTTGCTTTATCATGCCTCCCATATTGCCATGTCAAGTCTCTAACCCACCTTTCCTAGCAAACCGTTGTTTGGCTATGTTGCCGCTTTGCTCAGCCCCTCTTATAGTGTTGCTAGTTGCAGGTGAAGATGAAGTTTGTTCCATGTTGGAACATGAATATGTTGGGATATCACAGTATCTCTCATTTAATTAATGCATCTATATACTTGGTAAAGGGAGGAAGGCTCGACCTTATGCCTGGTGTTTTGTTCCACTCTTGCCACCCTAGTTTCCGTCATACCGGTGTTATGTTCCTTGATTTTGCGTTCCTTACACGGTTGGGTGTTATGGGGACCCCTTGACAGTTTGCTTATCTTAAAATCATCAAAAGATGTAAGTACAACTTTTAGCTCATGCACCCACGGACCGGCAGCAGCAAGACATCTCGTCGGCTGCTTCAACATCTACACCACATTCCTGTGAGTCGACCTTATGCCTGGTGTTTTGCTCCACTCTTGCCGCCCTAGTTTCTGTCATACCGGTGTTATGTTCCTTGATTTTGCGTTCCTTACACGGTTGGGTGTTATGGGGACCCCTTGACAGTTTGCTTTGAATAAAACTCCTCCAGCAAGGCCCAACCTTGGTTTTACCATTTGCCTCACCACCACCTACTTTTCCCTTGGGAGTCATGCTCCCGAGGGTCATCTTTATTTTAGCCCCCCCGGGCCAGTGCTTGTCTAAGTGTTGGTCCGAACCGAGTAGACTGCGGGGCCACCTCGGGGAACTTGAGGGTTGGTTTTACTCGTAGGATGTCTTATCCGGTGTTGCCCTGAGAACGAGATATGTGCAGCTCCTATCGGGATGTCGGCGCATCAGGCGGTCTTGCTGGTCTTGTTTTACCATTTTCGAAATGTCTTGTAACCGGGATTCCGAGTCTGATCGGGTCTTCCTGGGAGAAGGAATATCCTTCGTTGACCATGAGAGCTTGTGATGGGCTAAGTTGGGACACCCCTGCAGGGTTTGAACTTTCGAAAGCCGTTCCCGCGGTTATGGGCAGATGGGAATTTGTTAATGTCCGGTTGTAGAGAACTTTACACTTAACTTAATTAAAATGCATCAACTGCGTGTGTAGCCGTGATGGTCTCTTTCCGGCGGAGTCCGGAAAGTGAACACGACTTTGGTGTTATGTTTGGATGTAAGTAGTTTCAGGATCACTTCTTGATCACTTCTAGTTTCACGACCATTGCTTTGCTTCTCTTCTCGCTCTCATTTGCGTATGTTAGCCACCATATATGCTAGTGCTTGCTGCAGCTCCACCTCATTACCCCTCTCCTACCCATACGTTTAAATAGTCTTGATCTCGCGGATGTGAGATTGCTGAGTCCCCGTGACTCACAGATACTTCCAAAACAGTTGCAGGTGCCGATGATACCAGTGCTGGTGACGCAACCCAGCTCAAGTGGGAGCTCGATGAAGTTCATGTTCGTTGTGTTGTTTCGTTTCCAGTTGATCAGTAGTGGAGCCCAGTCGGGACGATCGGGGATCTATGCATTAGGAGTTGTCTTTCTTTATTTGGTTTCGTAGTCGGACCTTGATTGTATTCTGGATGATGTAATGCTATATTCATGTATTGTGTGAAGTGATGATTGTAAGCCAACTCTTTATCCCATTCTTATTCAGTACATGGGATGTGTAAAGATTACCCCTCTTGCGACATGCCTACTATGCGGTTATGCCTCTAAGTCGTGCTCCGACACGAGGGAGATATAGCCGCATCCTGGGTGTTACATAATTTTAGAAACAATTTTTAGTTTTTTTAATTTGTATCATACAATACACTGGATTTAACTTCTTTCAACCAATGGAGTGATTTGCTTACTTTTGTTTTTTAGCATATATTTTTCAGGGTTAATATTGCCGCTTTATTTAAACTTAAAACCTCAGAATGTCGGCCGAAATTACATCAAGAACAAAGTTTGGAGGACCCCCAACCAAACCTTACATAGTTCCTCACTGACCCCTACCTTCGCTAACTTATGCGCGGCAACATTAGCAAAACGACGCACCCAAGAAATCTTAAAATCATCAAAAGATGTAAGTACAACTTTTAGCTCATGCACCCACGGACCGGCAGCAGCAAGACATCTCGTCGGCTGCTTCAACATCTACATCACATTCCTGTGAGTCAAGCTCCACATGAACCCTTCCAATATTGATCTCTCTTGCCACCTCTAGTCCACGCCTGCATGCTAAAATCTCTGTAGCTTTGGATCGACGTTAGAAGGATAATGGTGACATACTACTGCTAGAAATGCTCCACTGCGGTCCCTCAGTACAGCCCCACTGCCACCCTTGTCGCCATGCTTCGACACCGTCCTATCAGAGTTCAGTTTTATCCAGCCCTCCTCAGGTGGTTCCCAGCGTTGTAGCTCCCTTGGCGTCGTCGTCTGAGGTCCGGCTGCATGAAAAACACACCATTCGCTCATATGGGCAGAAACGGTGTTTATTATTTCATGTGGTGGCGCAATCTGTTTCCCATCCCTCGTCTTGTTTCTGGCCAACCAAAGTTCATAAGTTGCATGTACCATTGCATCCTTCCCTTTGTCAGATGCACCCATGAACTAGTCGAGGAGGCAGCGAGCAAGAGCACTCTGGGAGTCGATAAAACACAGTGGGATCGCCACCGAAACTCCTTTCTCCAAATGAAGAAGCTGCCAACACCTTACTGAATGTTGACATGCCCAAAAGCGGTGATAGATGGTCTCTTCCCTCCCGCATACAACACACAAAAAACGCCCGGTCTTTTTAGTATATATGAAGGCTTTTTTTAGTGGTTTTATTTTAGGAATGTACTACCTAGATGCGTTATGTTTGCTAGTGCTTGGTGTTACGGCTTACTAGCACACGTTCATGATAAGCTCAAAGAAAAACACATGTTCATGATCCTTTAATTGAGTTGGCCATCACAGCTCAAAAAGAAGAAGAAAAACTGGCATTAATTTCAATAGTGTTTCATCCGGTGATGCGTTGAAACAAGCCGATGAATAAAACCACCTTGACGTCAGCTAACAACCACTTAACTTGCCCAAGCTAATTTTTTGACGGAAAGTCCGTCGGCAAACTGGAAAACAACAAACAATGACGAAAAATTAGCCTAGGGGACAAGAAGCAACTCTGGGCCTAACCTGCATAATGAAAACGGACTGAAACAACAACGATGATGTCAGATGAACGAGACCAAATTGTAGCTCATTTGTACTCCCTATGAATAAAATCCTTGTGGCCTAAAGAAGAGAAAATCCCTGTATATCTAAAAAATGAGACCAACCCAAATGCTAACCCTCGTTGGCTTTTCTTTATAGGAGAAACTCCGTGAGCACCGCGCGTCCATGCCGGGACTCGAACTCAGGTGGGTTGGCAGCAACCTCAGCTGCCCAGCCAACGGGTCGACGCCCCATCTTCAATCCTTCTATATCTATATCTATAATCTATACCCCTACTATTATACTATTAAAAGGAGGTGATATTTTTGGTTTCATCTCGCTTCGTTTGGTCCCGCTTCAATTAACTTCGTGTACGCTATTTGATTTCGTTACTTGCCACCCATTTTGGCCCAACAGAGAAAGCCCACCTGGCGGCGCACCGAGGCCCAGGTCCGGAGAGCTGCCATTTTTTTTTGCAGATATGAGGGATATGAGAGGATTATTTTTCTCCCGTTGCAACGCACGGACTTTTTGCTAGTGTCTTCTTTCATTCTACAATGCAGTGCTTCCTCTATCACCGTGCTTCAACTTTGACCGTAAATTTAACTACCAAGACCGATTGCGGCGGGAGCAAAAGTTATATAAGTGAATTTGTATACGAAAGAAGTTTTTAATTATGTAACTTTTTCTTCCGCCGCAGTCGGTCTCGTTCATTAAATTTATAGTCAAAGTTCGACCTCGGAAAACGCAAGCGCATTATATTTTGAAATGGAGGGAGTACTAATAAATGAGTTAAATCCTCTCATAAATACGGACGGGCGCGGTGGTCCCATTTTATTATAATGATCAAAATAGCCATTAGTCTATATTATTATAGTGCAGGGAATCTCCCACCGTCCACCCCCCGCCCCCGCCCCCGCCGCTTGTTCCTCCCCTTCCGCGCCCTCGCCCCGGATCCGAAGCCATTAAACCGAGCGCCAGTGGATCTCTCCTCGGGCATCGGCATCGGAGCGGAGAGAGAGAGAGAGCCACCCAGCCATGAGATGGTATGCATCGGTAGGCTGAGGGCGCTGGTGCTTCGTGCGGCGGCGGGCGCGGGCGCGGGCAGGCGCCGGTGGGCCAGGGTCCTGTGCGGTCGGGCGGTTGATGTGTGCGTGACACCCCGTCCGCGCGGGCACGGTTGGCGTGGATTCCTGGCGGTGGCTGGCGCCAGGACGAAGATGATGCTCGATTCATCCGACTCTGACTCCGGCGCTCCGGCGGGGCAGCTGCAGCTGCAGCGCCGCGCGGCTGCTGCTGGGACCCAGCCGCAGGATGGAGGGTACGCCAGTGCGGGGTGGCAGAGGTAATGCATGCCCCCTGCTCATCTTTTGGTTATAGGCGTTTCCTGTGTTTGCATCAGCTTGAAATATCGTTGGTTGAATTTGCATTTAGGCGGGCCTCACGTTGTACATTTGCTTGCCTTGCCTTGAAATATAAAGAGTGCAGTAGAGATGCTCCAGAATTTGCAATCGGACCATGTGCTTTGATTGACATGAGTGCACTATATAGCTGTTTGGCCCGTGGTTTATCATTTCTTAGGACGGTTTGGTATACATGAGACTAGTTGACATACTTAACACGGTTCTTTATCGAAAAAGAACGAGGTTCTTTCTGATCATAAGTAATGTTTGTCACCAACTCACCATGGTATGCATGCAGCCATTAGTATACGCCAAATGGAGCTGCTATGTGTACTGACATATTGGGCCCGATTTAGATATGACATTTTGTGACAACCATTGATTATTTGCCTGGTGCTGGCCCAACGAACATCAGATTGCAGCATCAAACCATTGTACCAGGATTGGACTAAAAATGTTGTACACGAGGCAATTCCATGTCCTGCAGTGCTACTAGTGTCATGCTCCTAATGCTTCATTGCATTCTTACAGGAGTACCAGCGATGCTTAGCTGTGAGGCTGTTACTAGTAGGACTTTATGGTCATCTAGACTAGTTACAAAGCAGTACAACTGCAACACTAGTGTATTTTGATGTGAACCACCAGCAGTTGGCAGATGCAGTCATGGAAATGTATGCCTCTTGATCTGAAATTTATCATGTGCTTGTTTATTTTGTGATCGTTGTAATGTATAAGATAGTTTATCTACACTTCTGATATTTCAGGTCTATATCTTCGTACAATAACCATTTCTTATCTTCTAACATCTGTTATTAAAATGCCCTCTCTGAGACTCTTTAGAATATGTAATGCTGCCTGGGTTGACATTGTGTCCAAATATCATGACAGGGAAGATGGTAAACTGAAATGTGGGTATTCAAGTTTTAGAGGGAAAAGGGCTACAATGGAGGATTTCTATGATGTAAAACTAACTGAAATTGATGGACACGCTGTTAGCCTATTTGGTGTATTCGATGGTATGGTTTCCAATCTTGCCTTCTTACTTCTGCAATTGCATGCCTATCGTGTTCTTACTTTGCAAAGCTTTAGGTCATGGGGGGTCACGTGCTGCTGAGTATTTGAAGGAGCATTTGTTCGAGAACCTTATGAAACACCCCAAGTTCTTGACTGATACAAAGCTTGCTATAAGTAATGTTTCTCTTGGCATTTACCTGTATGTTTATCTGTTCGCATTCTTCCCAATGCTTCCAATCATTGTTTTCTGAGCTTTAAATTTTTTTTTGATAAAAAAACAGGTGAAACATATCAGAAGACAGATGCTGATTTCTTAGAATCAGAATCAAGTGCTTTTAGGGATGATGGTTCCACAGCTTCGACTGCGGTTTTAGTGGGTGGCCATCTATATGTAGCAAATGTTGGTGACTCCCGTGCTGTTATTTCAAAAGCCGGGAAAGGTATATTCTGTTAGAACCCTATTGTAGTCACTATATGATTGAATCACCCAAACATGTTCTGGCCCTTGTAAATACTTATTGTATGTATCTGCAGAGTGTTTCTAAATTTGCCCTCCAGCGATGATATATTTGGCAAAGAACTATGGTACATTGTGTTTCTTTTAATGCACTTTTTTACAAAATATTTTCCCACCAACATATTGCAGTTATACGATTATACCATAGCTATCTGCTCATTTCCTTCATGTGATGATTATTGTTCTACCATTATTTAAGGAAAATGGCAAGGCTTGCTTATTTCTTACCACCATCATGATGGAATCTATATAATGACATCATATCCACTTCAGTTTACCGGCGTGGTTCGGTTACTAGCTTAGGAGCTTCGTTTACTCCATTCTAACTCTACTGATCTCATATGTTTGTTTTTGTAGCTAGGGCACTCTCAGTAGATCACAAACCTAACAGGTCCGATGAACGCAAGAGAATTGAAAATGCTGGAGGTGTTGTCATCTGGGCTGGTAAGTCTTATTTTATTTCACTCATGCATTTGGCATTGTCAGTCAGCACAATTGTAAGTGGACAAGGACGGTAGCAAAAGACTTGCTTATTCATTTTGAGCCTTCTGATATCTCCTGTATGTTTGGACATGTTGGTTTATCATGCTTGGGTTGTTTGTTTCGTGATCTTGCGTGCAGCCTAAGTGCTTCTAGGCGTGCCATGTTTCTATACAAGATATTTTGTTTTTTGATTGATCTAGGCTTTACGATTTGACTATCGGAAACTGTTCCATCTTCTTGATGTGGTATTTGCCCAGGTACTTGGAGGGTAGGTGGCGTACTGGCAATGTCCCGTGCGTTTGGTAATCGTCTACTGAAGCCATTTGTGGTGGCAGAACCTGAAATTCAGGTAGCTTATTGTAGTTGAGTTATGCCAAGATTTCGTTACCTTTTTTTTATATATAGTTGGAAATCAGTGCTTTTTACTTGTTTCAACCTAGTGCAGCAGCAAGTGGTCGTTAGCAACTCCAGTTTAATACCTTTCTTTAGATTAGTCATTAGTTGCCTGTTTCTAATTTTGATTACTTGTGATCAAATCTTATCTAACAAATCGTAGGAAGAATTGATTAATGGAGAATTGGAGAGCCTGGTTCTTGCCAGTGATGGGCTTTGGGATGCCGTAGAAAATGAGGTAAACTCTATTGCCAACTGTCATAATTCTCACCCTGAATGCACCCAGAATTTCTTAAGCAAAACACTGTTGCTTATGAGGCTGTAGAAAGCATTTTCTACATCTGATCTGTGCTTACATTCTAAGTGCAACAATGCGTAACTTTATACTACTTCTGTAACTTAATATAAGACGTTTAAGACACTGTCATAGTGTCTAAAAACGTCTTATGTTAAGTTACTGAGGGAGTAGCTCTTTAACTGATATTCTGGCAATGATTTTCTCAAACAGGAAGCTGTGTCCCTTGCAAAAACAGAAGATGTGCCAGAGTCTGCGGCCAGGAAACTGACGGAGATTGCCTACTCCCGTGGCAGCGCTGACAATATTACATGCATCGTGGTGCAATTCCACCATGATAAAATTGCAGGATGAGATGGACTACAGCTGATTTAAGGTTTCTCTGCTTCAGGCCTCTTTTTATCCTGCAAGCGGAGTGGGGTTTCTCCCACATCTATTTTTGCCTCTGTGGCAACTGCTCAGGACTTCCTTCATTGATTCTTTCCTTTGTGTGGGAGACCTTTTCTCTTTTGAGAATTGTAATGGGAATTTTTGGGTTTGATGTATCCATGTCTATGTCTGTACTAATACTTGTTATATTTAATATAAAAAGAGTGAGTTACGGAGATCCAACAAATTTCACATGTTTAACTGCATCTATCCAACAGTTTATGTCGCTTTCATATTTAGCGTTTAATATCATACCTAATATGAATGCCAATGCTAACCATGTAATTATTTCCTAACTAATATCAATGTGCAATTTATATCTTTGCCTACTATTGATGTTCAATATAGTTAATATCTTGCTTCACATTAACATGCGTTGCACATACACTATTCCTATACAATAAATTTACAAAAATACTAACGCACACTATTCCTATACAATAAATTTACAAAAATACTAACGCCCACACGTGTGGTAGTTTTGCAACACGCCCACATGCGTGGATCATTGTTCAGTCGAGTTTGCACGAATCTGAACACATTGAGGCGGATTTTGCGTGCCACGTGGGACGGGGCTGGTGTGTGGGCGTTGAAGAGTTCGCCCACACGCCCCGCAACACGTGGTTTGCCAGTTGCGCTATGTGGGCGAACTAGTTTCTGCCCACACAACCACCATCTAGATCCATGCGCGTGTGAGCAAACTGCTTTCCGCCCACATGACACTTGTATGTTGTTGGATGGCAACTGCAGTTATGCGTACGTGGCAACTAGGTAAACACACATGGGAACTATGATTCGTTGCTAGACGGCAACTGCAGTTGCCCGTACGTGACAACCAGATAAACACACACAACAACTATGATTAACCATACATGGAAACTATGGTTGGACCACACGTGACAACTAGATAAACACACATGGCAACTACTGTTTGACCATATGTGAGGAGTAGTTAATCACACACGAGAACTACCATAAATTAGACATGACAACTATAGTTAACCAAAACAGATATAGTTGCCATGCCTTTACAACTACATTTGCCATCCCGAATAACTACATCTGCCATCTCGGATGGCAACTAAATCGTCATCATGCGAGGTACCTAACGTAGTTGCGGCAGGATGTGTGGACATTTTTGCTTCGTGCCACACGTGCGGGGTGTAAATGAGTAGTATTTGTTGGGCGTGTGGCACGAAGTAGATGCACCCACATCTGTGGGCAATTCTAATGTTCGCCCACACACAACCCTTATGGGCTGCCTCCTGCTCACGCCACATACGGTGTGTGGGTGGATGTCTAATATGCCACACGTGTGGGCGTTATCGGCGTCCTAAATTTACCAGTTACATAGGCTATACAATCTTTCAAAACACTACTGGTTCCCACCAAAAATAAATAAATAATGCAAGTCCATGAGTGAATTATGCCCAGGGCGAGCTAAAAGTCACGCAACCTACACCAATTGAAAAGCTGGTTCGGACAACAATGTTCTGTGGAAGTGTGCTAAGGTTGTCAAACAAGCTAAAAGTCATGTAACCCGCACCAATTGAAAAGCTGGTTTTATCATACTCCTAGAAAAGTCATGTAACTTTGGCCCTGTTTGGATTCATGAGTTAGAGTTAGTTTGGGTTAGTTTGGGCAAAACTAACCCAAAAATATTCAAACAGGAGGGTTAGTTTGGGTTAGATGCACCTAACCCATTCAAAAAATCTAACCCACCCAAGACGTGCTTATTTGGGTTAGTTCTTCTCGGGATCACTAAAAACACATTTTCTCTCGCTCTCCCCGCAACCGATCCCTCCCCACTTCCTTGAAACTTCTCGTCCTCTCCCTTCCTCCCTCTTGCACCGCCCGCGAAGACGCCTCGCCGTATCCACGCTCCATCTAACCCTGCGATCCAAACACCTCTTTGGTTAGAGTTAGTTCAGGGTTAGGATCTAACTCTAACCTCTAACTGAAGGAAATATGCACTAAAGGCAATAATAAAGTTGTTATTTATATTTCCTTATATCATGATAAATATTTATTATTCATGCTAGAATTGTATTAACCGGAAACTTAGTACATGTGTGAATACATAGACAAAACAGAGTGTCCCTAGTATGCCTCTACTTGACTAGCTCGTTAATCAAAGATGGTTAAGTTTCCTGACCATAAACATGTGTTGTCATTTGATGAACAGGATCACATCATTAGAGAATGATGTGATGGACAAGACCCATCCGTTAGCTTAGCATAAATGATCGTTTAGTTTTATTGCTATTGCTTTCATCATGACTTATACATGTTCCTCTGACTATGAGATTATGCAACTCCCGAATACCGGAGGAGCACCTTGTGTGCTATCAAACGTCACAACGTAACTGGGTGATTATAAAGATGCTCTACAGGTGTCTCCGATGGTGTTTGTTGAGTTGACATAGATAGAGATTGGGATTTGTCACTCCGATTGACGGAGAGGTATCTCTGGGCCCTCTCGGTAATGCACATCACTATAAGCCTTGCAAGCAATGTGACTAATGAATTAGTTGCGGGATGTTGCATTACAGAACGAGTAAAGAGACTTGCCGGTGACGAGATTGAACTAGGTACGATGATAACGACGATCGAATCTCGGGCAAGTAACATATCGATGACAAAGGGAACAACGTATGTTGTTATGCGGTTTGACCGATAAAGATCTTCGTAGAATATGTAGGAACTGATGCGGAGCATCCTACGGTCATCCCCATGGACCTACCATCGTCCCACGAAGTGCCAAGAGGACCTATGACTCGAGCTAGAGCTAGAGCCCTCGAGACCGAGGTGACTTCTCTCTTTAGTGATATTGCATATGATCCCCTCGAGACATGGCTACTACCTAAATCCGAGATATTGTGCATGATCAGGTACCAAGAGGACCCTCCCGAAGATGCACGTGAAGATGAACAAGTCTCCAAGTTCACGGATGAAGAGAACCAACGGAAGGAGTCAAGAACACCTCCCAGGCCCCGGACATCCGGCCACGACCCCGGACATCTGGCCCCTGGAGCGTCGTCCACCACAGCTGCACAACTGCCAAGCATCGGCAGGCTCCGTACATCCGGCCCCGTCATCCCAGACATCCGGCCCTTCCCGAGCTCCTGGAAATCTGCCCCCCAGTCCGGATATCAGGACACCACCGAACCCGAGAGCAACAAGGCCAGCTTCTCCAGCCCGGACATCCGGCAACTCCAGCCCGGACATCCGGCCCCGCGTGAAAGCCCGGACATCCGGCCTCCCATGTCTGTGCACAGTGTAAGGGCCCGAGGCCCGTGTACCCCTTCGCCCACCTAGACTATATATGCTCTTCTCCTACCTACGTTTTAGGGTTAGCGTTGTGATAGCTCATTTGAGAGATAAAGCCTCGCTCATCCATATCGGATCTACTCCTTGAGAGAGACCGCGGCCCCTCTACGGAGAAGATCCACCTTGGATTCAAGACCCCCTTTTGGTCGGCCCCATCAAGACCTCCTTTGGAGAAGAACCGGTTACCGTGTACCATCCTTTGTTGATCGTGGATCTTGTATCTCCTCTTGTGTTTCGAGGATCTAGCATATGTGTGACCTAATCTCGTTGGTTTGAGTGATTCCCTTGTGTTTTCCCTCGTGTTCTTCGTGTTCCTCGTTGGGATCCGCTCCTTTTGTGAAAGATCGGCCACCTAGGGTTCCACCCTACATCATCTTGGTATCTAGAGCTACGTTGATCACGATTTCGGAGCCTCCCCGTTGTGTTTCTAGCCTTGTTTTGTTGATTTTGTCCCTAATTCGAAAATTCCCCACAAAAATAGCCCCCAATTTTTTTTTGTGATTTGTTGGTGTGATGAAGTTTTGTTGGATTTGATCCGCGGATTTCATGTGTTGCAGGTAGATCTAGCTTTCCATCATCTTTTCCCCAATTTCCATCGACAAATTCCTCCAAATTTGCCCCGATTTGCCACCTTCCATGCGGAGTTCATCCACGGATCCAGAGCCCGGACATCCGGCCATCAAGCCCGGACATCCGGCCCCTGGCAGCATCACTCCCATCCACCGCCCGTTTTCCGTCCATATTTCGCCAAATTTTGTTCCGGTGCCCACATACACTTCCACATACCACCACCACTTCCGCATACCACCACCATATACCACATACACCACCATCGATTACCACTACCAACTCCGACAATTTTGTCACGTTTTGCTTTGAGAATTTGAGTTGCGGTTCCGTGTCCTATCGTGTTTCGGCTATTTAGGTACGGTTCGACATCAACAGCACTGCCGCTCATCTTCGCCATGGACGCGTCATCGACAACAACCACTCCACCATTTTGACACCATACCGTAAGCAAGAAGCGGTAAAATCATCTTGGTATAGTGATACATCATTCTTGTCATTACATTGATAGCCATCGTAGCCTTACTGTTTTGCGTCGCTTACCCATCGAGACTAGCCTTTGAGTATTGCCGGCAACGTGACTTGTGCACATTAGTGATCATACTTCCCATAGCATACATACATATCATTGGTGCATATCTTGGTATCATCTCGTGTGTCACAAAGTTGTCATCGCATACACAATTGCTATCTTGGTTTGTGAAGCATTGCATGAGACAAGAGCTCAAAAACAAAGAGCCAAACAAGCTTTTAAGAAAAAGGGAAAGATAAGCAAAGAGCTTTTAAGCAAGAACCATAGCATCATACAACATTAAGATTATCATACTAGATCATCTTGGATCATATCATCGAAACACCATACATAGAGCATGCTTGGGATAGAAGTCGTTGCATTTTTGCTTAGTCGGTTGTGCACAAGTCTTCGTATCTGCCTATTGTGCAATCGTGCTAGCGTCTCTCTAGTGTTGCGCAACAAGAGCATTTTCGTGGATTCCACATTTTGGCTCATCCTTGGTTGCACGACCCCG